ACTGGACCTTTGCTTTGCAACTGGAACCAACCCTAGAGGAAGAAGAATCAACACAACAGAGTGCTGCCCACCCCCAACCCTTGGAGCATGTCCAGGAAGATACCATACTTGATGGCATTGAGGGCGGCTGAAAAATGTCAAGGGCAAAGATCGAGGCACTATTCCCTTCCTTCTCTCAGCAGATGCCATCCAAGAGTGTGATCAGTGCCATCTTAATCCTATACACATGCTTGAATCCCAGCTGAAAGAGATCTAGATAATCCATTTCCTCCAGAGTTTTTTGAAGCTGCAGCAGAATCACTTCCTGTATAGCTTTCTCTAAAAAGGGAACATTGGAATTTGGATGAAAATTGCCAGGACTATTTGGGTCAAGCAATGGCCCTTTGTGGAGGGGGGTGTACACTGCCTTCTCAAAAGCCAGCAGAACTACATCATCCCACAAGGAACAAAAATAATAATAAACATAATACAAAACAATTTTACTACAGTTTTGTACGGCACTTCTTATCACACATCTGGTTAAGTATAATAAAGATAAATATTGAATGAGGAAATGTGAACCTAAGATGTCTCTTTACTTGTCTTTGTAAAGATCAGAATTCCCTTTTTAAAATATTCTTTACTACTTTTCCTTTTTTCTTCTTCTTTCTGCATTTTTTCTTGCTTTCCTTTCCATTGTTTTCTTTTGATTTTTGTTTTTGTCCTTTACTATTGCTAAAATATTTAATATAAAGTATTTTTTAAAAGAAAGGTAAATAACTGACCAATTAAAATTAACAAGATATGGAAAGCATGCATAATATGCCTTCTGACATTTTTTCAAGATCCTTAATAAGACCCCTGCTTTGGCAAACAGGCGCGAGTGGAGGAGTTGGCAATTTTCGAAGCACTGCCCAACTCTGTCCTCAGTGGAGATGCACCACAGGAATCTTTCTTCCTTCCTTCCTTCCTTCCTTCCTTCCTTCCTTCCTTCCTTCCTTCCTTCCTTCCTTCCTTCCTTCCTTCCTTCCTTCCTTCCTTCCTTTCTTTCTTTCTTTCTTTCTTTCTTTCTTTCTTTCTTTCTTTCTGTAAAAATACATTTTAGTAAATGATGGCTGATAAAAATATCCTATCAATAGCATCAATTTTTCATGAACTGATACAGCCCCTTTGAGTAAAAATTTTAAATCCCAAACATATGGCCCAGAAGCAATGGATAGAATGTTCTCCTCCCTGGGGAGTGGTCAGTTCAGGGATTAAAACCCATATATTTTTGGTTCCTGCCTTTGTGAATGACTTCTTTAAATATTAACCTCAGCCATACAAATTTACTGAATTTATTTATCAGTCAGTAGGCAGCAGATTTGAGTTATATATTAGTTACACTTTTTTATTTTTAATTTGTTGTATTGAAGTTCACTGCATTTTACACATTACTTTCTCTTTGCCATCTACTTTATTGTTTATTAATGTGAATCCTGCCTTGCAATGTGCATTTATATAATCATTTCTTTCATATACAGTAAATCAGGCTTGTATTTTTGTATTATCAGAGCTATACTAATAAATACTCAGATAAGACTATTATTGGAGATCAGCTATTATTTGTGTATCTCTTAGCTTGACAGTACTGCATTTGCTTCCAATTATATTAATCCATTTAATTATTTTCATGTATTGCTTCCCAGTACTTTGCTGATTTGTCTTATTTTAAACTATAGTGAGATCTGAGGTTTCCATGAGATATGTAAAATGCTTATTCATTGGAGGCTAAGTTATTGGAAAACCTGGCCATTTGAGAAGGAGAGCATTAAGAGAAAAATAGTGCTTCCAGTCACTTAGAAATGATTTCCCAGTTAATTCTTAAGCAGAAGGCTGTGAAGTTGTGCTTTAGGTATCTCAGAAAAAGTGTTTTTGTTCACTATCTAAAATGACAATCTGGTTATACACACATTAGCCTTCCAAAGCTATAGAGATGAACACAACATTTGATAACATTTTAACTGTATGGCAATCTACATCGGATCTGAATCTATTCTAGCTTCAAACTAAGTCTGGAATTTTTGCTTGATGTATAAGGATAGAAGAGATTTGGACTTTCATTAGAATTTAAAGGAGATCAATGACATCTCATCTTTCATTCTGAAAAAGTACAAAATTCCAGACTCATCTGGAATTGCATGTAATTTATAAATCAAACTTTTCCTTACTGTTAACAATTTATCAAAGCAAATTTCCTGTTTGGCTGAAAATGTTAAAACAAGGTATTTAGTTCCTACTTACCATACCAAATATTTCTGTCAAAATTTGTTCTATTTTACTATTTTAAAAGCATCTGAGATTCAAATATATCTTTAAAAGCAAAAGTATTCCTTATTTTCACGTGATGGCTCTTTATAGACTCTATTTTGCACACCTTACAGGAAATTTTCCATTTGGCAGAAAGAACTTGGGCTTCATAAGTATCTCTAAGCTAATCTGCAAACAGATACAGAAAATCTACCAGCCTGCTGTTATTTCGTTTTTGTCTTTGTTTTTCAAATGAAGATTTATTAGAAAGAATTGCTGACGTGACATATGTTAAGTGCTTCATTCTGCAATATCTGCAGTCAATGTATTATTCATGCCATAAAAGGGAAACTTAAGTGGAGTCCTATGCATTTCAGAACTAATTCCTCCGAATATAGTGGGATTTATTCTCATATAAGTATGTATTGAACTATATTCACAGGCCAATAGTTATTTTGAAAATCAAGGCTTTATGAAAATTTTTCTCAAATGTTGAATGTTGAATTTCTCCCATAAATTATCAAATGTAATCCTTTTTATTAAAAAAAATAATATCGCTCTTTCCCTTCTTTCATGGAACCACTAGCAAACATTTTATAGACTCTTCATGTTCAATATTTGGTTAAAGTAGCGAAGCAAATTATTATTATGTGCTATAATAGTGATGTGTTTTGACTAACCTATTGATAATTCCATAGATTTGTGATGAAAAACATGGCAATTTAATGTCAGTGTTAATCAAAGTTACTACTTTGGAAATAGTGTCAAAGTTATGGTGTCTTTATTTACCAATACCTCTATTTATTATTTCAGAGATAAACTTTATCTAAAATAAATAGTCTTGTACACAAAACAAATGATGTATAGAGAACAGAGAAGATAAAATCAATAGCATTGTAAAGGATCACTTGGCCATCTGACTTGCCATAAGAACACTCTGAGCAAAAGAAATCCTTGACAAGGGTGCGATGCATCTGTAGAATATTACGCCAGACAGATTTTTTTTAACTAGACACCCCAGATACAGGCTGCAAAAATCTGGATGCCAACAAAGAAATACACAAAACTGTTTTGCTTCCATCTTCTGATCAACTGGATTTTTTGCAGCCCAGATTTTGTAGCCCAAAAGGCATTTATTTAATCAGTGGGGTGACAGATGTCAGAGATAGATGCTCCAAAACGGGGAAAAAGGGATCCATGTCATATCAGTATAGAACTAGATCAACCCTCTTAACATATTGTTGAATAAAATTTCACTATCCCTGAACTGGAATAATTAAAGATAGCATAGTCTTCTTCAACCATGCCCTCTAGGTGTATTGAAACACAAATATTCTCATCAGGCTAGTTAGCATATACTTTTACTTTCTAAATAGTACATGACCTAACAGTAGAGAAAGACATCTATGTTTATTGCTGTCCTAGTTTATTATATATACTGTTTACACTAAAATACAGATATATACATATATATGTGTGTGTATGTATGTGAGTATGCATGTATATCACAAGCCAATTTAATTTTCTTAATCTGAAGGCTAGGAATAGAATGTTTCCTTTATTGAAATTGAGAAAAATTGATGAAACTATAAACTCTATTTAACAAAGTTGAACTTAGTTTTGAATAAGAATCACATATATCTTATGGCTCCCATCCAGTTTGAAATAAAGCCCATAGATTCAATAGAATTTATTTCTGAATGAATATATATGGTGCTTGTGAAAGGAAATGCTTTTAAAGAATCAAGTCTATATTCTATTTAAACATTCATTATTTATTGTAGACTGTTTATTTTAGAGCATTTACAGGCTATCCCAATCTGGTTGATTCTGGGTGGTATACAGGAGCAAATACATATGCCCTTTGTATCAATCATATTGGACATTCTGCTTTATCTCTTATACTCTTGGGATGTCTCTTTTGATGATGTGTTTGCCATCTGGAGTTTTTAATAAGGATTTCTATTGAGTGGATTAAAAAAAAGGTCTGCCATCTGATTAATTGTTGGTATCATTGCAAATCAATATTTTAATCAATTGATGTAGCTAATCAATTAAACATTGTGATACTAGTGATTTTGTAAAAACAATATAGAAAGGACTTTGAGAAAAGAACTTTATAGGACAAGTTGGCATTTGAATAAACATAGATGACATATTGTTGGTTGTTACTAATAACAAAAGCTCAATTGTATAATTTCACTAGTACAAATTAATATTTTGAAGTACATTGAACTGAAAAAAATATCATTTTTTTAACTTGTCAGTTAAACAGTTTGCTCTCTGTATGCTTTTTTTTTGGGTCAAGATTGATGAATTCTTTTTAATAAAATGTGCCACGGTACTTTCCTGAGATGTTGGACTAATTGCCAGTTGGGTACTTAAACAGTGGCTTTGCCTTCATAATCCCAGTCTAAATTGCTAATTAATCGCACTGCCTCTCTCAACAAAGACGCACGCATCAAAATAAAGTCAAGAAAAGGAAAGTTAGAAAAAGCTACGGCTGGCAGTTGCATTGAAAAATATTATGAAACTAAATGAATCAAAAGGTTTAAAAGGTTTTTAGGCTGTGTTGCCTGATCACCATTCTTTCATGATACTAACATGTAGATTTTATTTTAAATGTTCTGCAAAAAAGCAGTTTGCTGAGAAGAATAAATGCTTATAGGGAAAACATGAATATATAAAATGCAGGATTTAAAATTCATTTTTCTTTTCTTCCATATTCACAGGTCAGAAAATCCTTCACCACAGAAGTGAAGTTTTAGAAACTGTTGTGTTGATTAATCCTTCAGATGAAGCAGTCAGCACTGAGGTAAAAAAAAAAATCAAAAAAATCATACCTATGCTAATATACTTTAATCAAAATTACATGTATGGGCATAAAATAACTCAAAGCAACTAGACCAGAGATACTGATATTTTTATTTACATATTTTATCTATATCACTCAAAATGAAATAGAATGCATGTCTACTGTTCAGTAAGTTCCACTGAGTTTAGTATGAATTACATTCAGGTACAGTAATAGTATATATTAATATAGTGGTTTAATTGTGTTATATTTTTGGTTGCAGGCTTATCTTTCATTTTTCATCCACACCTAGATGAAAATAAAACCTAAATATATGACTCAATAAGTAAATGGTATTTCATATTCTCTTCCATTTCCTTGGTGACATTGTATATATTCTTTTATAATTTATGAAGAAAAAGCAAATGATGTGAATATGATATAAAATAGCATGCATGGCAGACTGGTGGGGGTATCCTGTTTCTTTCAGTGGTCAATCAAATGCTTGTGACAAATCTATAAATACTCAGAGAGACAGATGACTTTTCCTGTTGTTCCCACCTTTTCATCTAAACCATCTTGAAGAGTAGTGCTCACCCATCTATTTGGTAAAGCTCTTCTACATGTTTTTCTGCTTAATTTAAACTAATTTCTGATTATTACATTTTTTCTTAGGGTTTTCTACCAGTTTTCCAAATATCCAATATTCTGGTGATATTTTCCAACAAATATCAACTCAGCCAACGTATAATCTTCTGGATCCTTTTGGATCTTTTTTAATTACCATTTGATTGGATATTTTCTTCTCATTTTTCATGGAGATTAATTTCTGGAGGATGTTCTATATTTTTGTAAAATATTGCCAATTGTTATATTTAATTTGAGAACTCTTTAATCCTTGTATTTCTTTAACATATCTTTAATTTCCTTACCATCCAAAATCCTGATCTCTTTATTTGCAAGCTCCCATCTGATTTTAAGTCACTCAACAAACTGCTCACAATTCTTTTACATCTCACTGCTTTTTGTTCATTTCTTACCCTATGCTAATATTGTCCAAATTTGTGATTTTGATTTTGTGATTTTATTAGATGGGTTAAGTCACAATTCCCAGTTTCCTATAAATATTTGTTTGTGTTTTAAATCTTTTCTTTGGTTTTTTTGGGGGGAGGGGTTTAATGGGGCGTTGTTTTTATTTGTTGTTTTGTTAAAGTTAATTTTGATCTTATCTGAGGAAGTTTTTTATTTTTTAAAAAAACTAGTATTTTTCTTTTTTACAGTAATATAATAGATATTCCTCATTATAAGTTAACAACATTCTCACACTGAATATTTGGCAAGAATTATATCAATTTCTTACTTTTGCCAATTTCTGCATGCCACTCTCTTAAATATATAAAATGTAGGAGTAAAATGCAGAAGTCATATATTAATGTTTTTCCTGGAAAAGCTGTTGACTTTGTAAAGTGTTCTGGCAGCCTTTCTAGAGTTTTATCAGCAGGCACACGAAACAATAGAAGAAGAGAATTCTGTTTTTAATGGATCTAGTGCATTTAAAAGGGATGAAATTTAAGTGGCATTCACAAGATAATCAAACACTAATCTCATTGTTTAACGATAATGATAAACAGAAAAGGGACATAGCCCATTAAAAGTAATGGTACATTTTTATATCCTAGCACAATTAGTTTTAAATCAGCATGGAATTTGCTTTTTTCTGCTTCCTTAAGCTTTTAGTGATCATCCTTGAACTCATTATAAAAGGTAATTCATTGAATCATATGTGTCTGAAGGGAGGAATAAACAAGAAAACATGTGCTGTCCCAATGCAAACTTCATGGCATGTGAGGTGTTTGATGCTCTCTGAGCTGGGTTGTTTTCTTGCAGACGTTTCATTACCAAACTAGATAACATCACCAGTATTGAAGCAGCTCAACCTTGAGCTACAAATACAGTATTCTCTTCTTTCAGTTTCATGGCAAGTCCATTTTGCAGCATTTCCTGTGTGGAACTGCAGTGCGAGTAATTTTCCCATTGCTAGAATCACCCACTTCGTCCCACCTCCTGTGGTCTTCCTCTTCCTGCTAGGTAATAAGGCACTATAATCACAATTCCCCTATCCTCCACAGATGTTCTGCAGAACATCTTTAACAGGAAACTGCAAACAGAGAAGAAAATGAATGCTAGCTAATTGCCATCGTTAGTGCTACCACATTCCCCAGATGGAAGGGTGGCTAGTTAATTGTATCAGGAAAGGAAAGATGAGGATTCTGAGATGCATAAGACGCTGCTGATAGTTGTGGAGGCAAAGCCAGTGGTCATATGGAGGGGCCTTTCTTTTCCATGCATGTTTACTTAAGAATATATATCCTATGAAAATAAATACCTTAACAATCTTTTTAAAGCTTTCCTTTAATATTTCAGATTTAAAACACAAAATTCACTTTCAGACCTAATTATTAATACATATCTTGGGTTCATTTGGCTTTATAGTCATGATAACATATCTGCGGAAGTCTCTTCCCATGAAAGTGCACCTAGAATCTACCATTATTCCATTTCAGGGCAAGGCAAATTCTAGGGTCACATAACATGCTTATCAATTATGTGGTTTTCCTTGGCATTAACAACAAAAAACCTGGATGACTTACCAGATGACAGCAAAGAACTACAAAAAACTATTTTTGATTTCCTCTAATGGTCATCCAAATATTTACAATCTGGTAGCCCCAATATTGTGCAGACCAGATCCACTGCTTAGGATTATTGTGAATAACACCATAAATGTTTACTTTTCCAGACTTCCCAAACTTCTTAATTTTCACTGGAGTTGGTATTCTGTTTTTTTAACTTGATTGAATTAACATTATTGTTTTGATTTTAAATAGGAATCCCCTTCCATTTCCTAATGTATGTGGGATTTTTTTTTATTTTTACAAAACAATCGTCCTCCCTCTTTGAAACACAATCATTCCTCCTTTTTGGATAAATACGGTCCAAATAATTTATTTGAGACTATTAATATTAATTTTTTCCCTAATAAAAGCATGAAGTATAAAAGATGTTTCAAAGTCAAGTCCAAGGGTAATCTATAATTTATTTGAGATTATTAATATTAATTTTTTCTCTAATAAAAGCATGAAGTATAAAAGATGTTTCAAAGTCATTATTTGTATCTTCTACCACAGGTGCGTTTAATGATAACAGATGCTGCACGACATAAACTTCTGGTACTAACTGGGCAGAACTTTGAAAATACAGGCGAACTCATTCTTCAGTCAGGTTCTTTCTCATTTCAGAATTTCATTGAGATCTTCACAGACCAAGAGGTTTGTTTCTTAATTGTTGCTACTCTATAATTCATTGGGATGAAGGTTTTGTTTGTATTTTTGATTGTACAGCAGATTTATTCATTTAATGTTTTGAAGAGGAGTAAAAAAAAAAATCAGAAATAGATATCCATCATGCTATTCATTTTAAAAATACTGTGTAGACTGCAGGACAAGGAATAAAAGATAGTCAATTTTAATTTATTTGGATAAATCCAGAGTACACGGCTAATTCTCAGTTAACGAGCATACGCTTTGCAATCATTCAAACATATGACAGTGCTGAACTAGTGGTGGTTACAACTGGTTCTTAAACTGGTTCCTCCAACTGTGATTATGTGATCATGATCAGGGCACTTGGCAACCAGCTTGCACATGTGATGGTTACAGCATCCCACAGTCACATGACTGTGATTTGCAATCTTTCCTGTAGCTTCACACAAGTGAAGTCAATGAGAAAGCCAGCAGGGAAGGTCTCAAGTTGCTCAAGTAAAATACCCCTGCCTGCAGAACCACCACCAGTCTTCCTTTGCTTGCGCCACTCCTTGCTGGCCACCTGCACAACCTTGCACACCCTCCCCAAGTCTCACTGTGCTTGTGTGGTGCCTCTCCAGTGTTTTGCACACCCTCTCCTGGCCACTTGAACATCCTTCCCCAATGTCATTGAGCTTACCCCACTCCTCCCTTACTACTTACATACCTTCCCTCATTCGGCAGCAGCCATTTCAACCCCCACCATGCTTGCATTGTGCCTCCCTGCCACCTGCACACTCACTAAACCCAACTGTGCTCAAACTGCACCTCCTTTGTACACTTTCTCCCACTCTCTTTTTACCTGCCTGCCAGCTTGTGAGCTGCCCAGGACTTGCAATTTCTTGCTGGCTTCCCCACTGACTTTGGTTGTTGGAATCCACCAGGAAGTTGCAAGAAGATGCTTGCTTAATGGCCTGTGATCCCCACTTAACAATGACAACTGAGACTGCAAGAATTGCCATGAAATCACATGACATTGTGCTTTACAACTGCACATAATTGGTAGAGATCTAATAGGCCCAAGAAAGCGCATTCCCACATTTAATGTCTCAGAAAGGTGACTCTAGCCTGACCAATGCTGTTTCCATCCCAGGGCTGGAACTGAATCTTGCTTAGCAGGATATTCTTTTTTTTTCTTCCTAGGATTGTCTCTTGCTGGGATATAGCCATCTTAACCATCTTTCTCAAAAAGAGAAAGCAGTGTATCAGGTGAAGGTTATTAAAAACGAGGTCACATGAAGGCTTCTGTGCATTATGAATATATATTCAAGTCAGAAGCCAAGTATATTTGTTTCTGAAACAAACCTAGACAAGGAACTAGAAGCAGTTTTTCTTTTTTTAGTCCAGATTTTTTACATCTGTATATTCTAGTATATCTGCCTCCTTCACAAATGTAATTCATGTTTACTTTGCCCTTTAAATGTACGTAATGTTACTATCCAAGTCTGAAATAATAAAATTAAATTGGCTCAATCTTTCTAGGAAATCAGCAAACACAGCTAAGATATTTCCATGGCTAGAACCATGATGGAATATAAATACTTCTGAAATAAAAGCAACTTTTCTTAATATGGAAATGCCTTGGCACTAAGCCAGTATATGATTGCTATTTTTTTTTCTTGTGGATAACAGTGTATATCAGAGAAAAGAAGACTTTAGACCAACATAATTACTTTGATTTGTACTAGGATACTGAAATCAATTACGGGGCCAAAGGCAAAGTTCTGACTCGGGAGGCGCATCCACTTTCTACTGAGTCTCAATTTAATTTTGAGACATAAATATGAATTAAGTGTGTACAATCTTATTATATTTCTGCTTGGATTTTTCAATTTCAGATTGGAGAATTGTTGAGCACTACTCACCCTGCCAACAAAGCCAGCTTAACACTTTTCTGTCCCGAGGAAGGGGACTGGAAGAATTCAAACCTTGACAGACACAACCTTCAAGATTTCATCAACATTAAGCTGAATTCTTCTTCTATTTTGCCTGAAATGGAAGGGCTTTCTGAATTCACAGAATACTTGTCAGAGTCAGTGGAAGTACCATCACCATTTGATATTTTGGAGCCGCCAACATCAGGAGGCTTTCTGAAACTTTCTAAGCCTTGTTGTTACATTTTCCCTGGCGGAAGAGGAGATTCAGCACTATTTGCTGTGAATGGATTCAACATGCTTATCAATGGAGGTTCAGAGAGAAAATCTTGTTTCTGGAAACTCATCAGACATTTGGACAGAGTAGATTCAATTTTGCTTACTCACATTGGAGATGATAATTTGCCAGGAATTAACAGCATGTTACAACGGAAGATAGCAGAATTAGAAGAGGAGCAGTCTCAAGGCTCTACTACCAATAGCGACTGGATGAAAAATCTAATTTCACCTGATTTGGGAGTTGTATTTCTTAATGTTCCTGAAAGCCTAGGAAATCCTGATCCTAATTTGCAATTAAAAAGAAGTGTAGAGGAGGCTTGCTTTACATTGCAATACTTAAACAAGCTATCCATGAAACCAGAACCTCTCTTTAGAAATATAGCAAACAACACTGAACCCATTATCCTTTTTCAAAAAATGGGTGTAGGGAAACTGGAAATGTATGTGCTTAACCCAGTCAAAAACAGCAAAGAAATGCAATATTTCATGCAGCAGTGGACAGGTACGAACAAAGATAAAACTGAACTAGTGTTACCAAATGGTCAACAAATAGACATCCCAGTTTCCTACTTGACTTCGATCTCATCTTTGATTGTGTGGCATCCTGCAAACCCTGCTGAAAAAATTATCAGAGTTCTTTTCCCAGGGAACAGTACACAATATGGCATATTAGATGGCCTAGAGAAGCTCAAACATTTGGACTTCCTTAAACAACCAATAGTGACACAAAAAGACTTAAGTGGTAACCTGGCAAGTCCAGCAGTAAAGCAGACAAAACTGAAGCAGAGAACAGATAGTAAAGAAAGTCTCAAGCCAGTCACTAAAACGCTGTCCACAAAGACTGTCAGAAAAGAATCAAGAGAGGAGGCAACTGACACAGGGAAATCTAGCCCACCAGAAAAGGCTCAAAAAGTAGAAAATAAACCTGTCATAAAAAAGGATAAACCGGCAAAAAGTGAAAGTAGGCTCTCTGTGACTGAAAAAGATCTAACAGCAAAGGAGCAACAAATTGTGAAATCTGAAACTGTTGAAAAGCAAGCCACTGATGTGAAACCAAAAGTAATAAAGGAGAAGCATGTGAAAAAGGAAGTGAAAGTAAAATCTGAGGAAAAACAAGAGGAGAAAGAAAAGTCAAAGAAAGAGGTGCCCAAGAAGGAGGAAAAATCCCAGACCAAGAAAGAAGAAAAGCCTAAAAAGGATGATTTGAAGAAAGAAATAAAGAAAGAATCTAAAAAAGAGCCAAAGAAAGAAGCTGCTCCAAAAGAACCCAAAAAAGAAGAGAAAAAGGAAGCGAAAAAGGAAGAAAAGAGAGAAATCAAGAAGCTTCCTAAGGAGATGAAGAAAACCTCTGCTGCTTTGCCTGAATCAAAGAAGGTTGCAGCAAAGCCAAAACCACAGAAGAGGGAAGAACCCATCAAAAAAGAAAGTGGACTTGCTGGGAAACCCAAAGAAAAAGTTAAAAGCAAGCCAGTGAAGAAAGATCTCAAAGTGGCTGAAACATCAGCTGCAGCTGTGACTGTTTTGGGAGCTGGGGCTGCAACAGTGGCAGCTGCAAGCCTAGCAGCCAGTGGGAAAGAACTTGAAGTTGAGAGATCGCTTATGTCCTCACCAGAAGACTTAACGAAAGATTTTGAAGAACTAAAAGCGGAAGAAGTTGAAGTAGTGAAGGAAACAAAGCTTCAGGACGATAAAGTTAATAATGAAAGCCAGCTAACTGACATAGAACAAAAGGAAGATTACACAGTTAAAAAAGAAAAAATTGAAGGTCCAACTTATTCCCCTGATGAAGATATCACCGCTGCAGAACCTGAGGGAGAATGTGAACAAACTCCTGAAGAGCTGGAATCTGTGGAAAAGGACAAGGTTGGTGACAGTGAAAAATTTGAGGAGGAAGGAGCAGGATTTGAAGAATCTTCTGAGGCAGGTGATTATGAAGAAAAGGCTGAGACTGAAGAGGCAGAAATACAAAGGGACAATGAGGAAGAAAAATTGCCAGCAAGTTTCAAAAAGCAAGAAAGCATAAAGGATATCATTGACACAGGAGAGATTGAAAAAGAAATGATAGAAGCCCCTGAAAATGAAAAAATGAAAGGGTTAATGTATGGTAAAAATGCAGAATTTAGAATGGAATATGAAGACCATTATGAAGAAATTGTAGATGAAACAACAGTTGAAAAGGCAGAAACAGAAGATACTGAGGAAGAAATTGAAGAAGACAAAACCGAGGAGGTCAAAGATGAAGAGGAAACTGAAAAAATACAAGCTGGAGAGGATTACGTCATGGCTGTAGTAGACAAAGCAGCTGAAGCTGCTGAAATGGATGATAAATACGGTTTGTCTATAACTACTCCAACTAAATTGTCAGAATCTCCATCTCCAGCAAAGGAACCAGCATCTTCAATCCATGATGAAACTCTACCTGGTGGGTCAGAAAGTGAAGCAACTGTTTCAGATGAAGAAAACAGAGAAGACCAGCCTGAGGAATTCACTGCTACTTCAGGTTATACCCAATCCACTATTGAAATATCCAGTGAGCCAACCCCAATGGATGGAATGTCAACTCCAAGAGATATAATGAGTGATGAAACAAATAATGAAGAAAGTGAATCTCCTTCCCAAGAATATGTTAACATTACTAAGTATGAGTCAGCACTATATTCTCAAGATTTTGCTAGACCTAAAATTGCTCCTCTTCCTGATGCTTTTAATGGATTATCTGAAGGATCAAAAACAGATGCTACTGAAGGCAAAGACTATAATGTTTCAGCTTCTACCATTTCACCACCTTCTTCATTAGAGGAAGATAAATTTAACAAATCTTCCTTCCAGGATCTGTATCATTTTCGGGAAAATGAATTCAAAACTATTAATAGATTAGAAATTTCAGAAACTTGGGATGAGAAGATAGATGAAAGTCCAGCCCCACTATCACCAGTTGCTAAAACACCTCTTAGTGAACGTAGTGTGAACTTTTCCCTAACTCCCAATGAGATTAAAATATCAACTGAGCCTGTATCTCTCACAATACTGCCAGAAAAACGTCACGAAACCCAGGAAGAGCAGTGCCCCAGCCCTGATGATAAAACATTAGAAGTGGTATCTCCTTCACAATCAGCTGCTGGAAGTGCTGGTCACACACCTTATTATCAGTCTCCCACTGATGAAAAGTCAAACCAACTTCCAACTGAGATTCCTGGAAAGACAACTGAAGTACCAATCAGTGTTGAAGTTAGTGATGCCAAAGACAATGTTGCAAAACACAGAATAAGCCCAATGGATGAACCAGTACCTGATTCTGAATCGCCTTTTGAGAAAGTGCTTTCACCTTTACGAAGTCCACCGCTTATTGGTACAGAATCTTCTTATGACACATTTTTAAGTGCTGATATTAAATCTCTCAAAGAAACTGAAACCACCTTTGAAAAGAAAAGTGAAACAAATGATTCTGTGTTGCAGAAGAGCTCAGTCTCTGAATTTGCTTCAACAAACATTTTCCAAGACCAGCAGGATGAAAAAGATTTGGAGCTGACACCTCCAAAATCAGACATTTTTCTAGAAAAGAAAAGGGATGATTTAGAAACTTCAGAGATTCAGTCTGCATTAGTTTTGGATGAGAGGAAGCTGGCAGAGGTTTCTCCTACTCAGGTGGATGTTGGTCATTTAGGCTATTTCAAAGAGGACACTAAAATGTCAATATCTGAAAGTACTCTGTCTGATAAATCTGCAACCCCGGTTGATGAAGTTGTAGCAGAAGATACTTATTCACATATTGAAGGAGTTGCATCTGTTTCTACAGCTTCTGTTGCTACTAGTTCATTCCCAGAACCAACCACTGATGATGTATCTCCTTCATTACATGCTGAGGTTGGATCTCCTCACTCTACTGAAGTTGATGATTCTCTTTCTGTGTCTGTTGTACAAACACCAACTACATTTCAAGAAACAGAAATGTCTCCATCGAAAGAAGATTGTCCAAGACCAATGTCTATTTCTCCACCAGACTTTTCTCCTAAAACAGCAAAGTCAAGGACTCCAATACTAGATCACAGATCTCCTGAACAATCAACTATGTCAGTAGAATTTGGACAAGATTCACCTGAACAGTCTTTGGCCATGGATTTTAGCAGACAGTCACCTGAGCAACCCATAGTAGGTGCTGCTGTGCACCATATATCTGAAAATGGTCCCACAGAAGTTGATTTTAGCCCTTCAGAGATGCAAGAATATGGATTTCCAAATAAAATATCGCCAGTGGAACAAGTATGTTTTAGCCACGAGAAGGATATTTCAGAGATTATTTCAGTTTCTCAGATAGAGGCTTCGCCTTCACCTTCCACTTCCTCTGTTCATACACCTTCACAGGCAAGTTCTCCCCTGCAAGAAGAAATTTTATCTGCTGTTACACAGCCTAGTGATATGCCAATACATTCTACATTTCCATCAGAAAAAATGCAAAGCTTAGGAGAGAAACTCTCACCAAAGTCTGATTTATCTTCATTGACACCACGGGAATCTTCTCCTTTATATTCACCTAGCTTTTCAGATTCACCACCCATAATGAAAGAAACAATGGCTGCTTCTCAGTCATCTCTATTATCGCTGCACGTATCCCCAGACAAATTGTTTGGCTATCATACATCAATAGTTCAAGACCCTGAGACAAAACATGGTCAAGCGCTTCTAGTATCTAAGGATCAGGAAGATACAGAAGAAACATCCATATCACCAGAACCACTTATTTACTCTTATAAGGAAACTGGAAAAAGCACTAGGTCACCTGAGGCTGTTAGCTATTCCTATGAAAAAACAGAGGAAGTCATTGAATCCCCTGAAACTTTTGATTACAGCTATGCTGCAAAAGAAATCACCAGATCAATAGAGGCAGATAATTATTCCTATGAGAAAACAGAAAAAAGCACCAAGTCACCAGAAGCCCTTGATTATTCTTATGAAAAATCCACCAAACCATCAGAGTCTGTCCATTATTCTTTTGAGTCCACAGAGAAAGCTACCAAATCACCTGACATTTCAAGTTATCGCTATGAGAATGATAAATACTTTGTTTTAGAAAAATCTGAAATCCGTCAAGATGTTGATTTATGTCTTGTCTCATCCTGTGAATACAAGCATCCCAAAACAGAACTGTCGCCTTCTTTTATAAATCCTAATCCCTTAGAATGGTTTGCAAGTGAAGAACAATCTCAAGACCAAGAAAAGCTGTTAATTCAGTCAGGAGGTGCTCCACCACCCTCTGGAGGAAAACAGCAAGCTCGCCTGTGTGGTGAAACCCCCCCAACTTCTGTAAGTGAATCTGCTCCGTCACAGACCGACTCAGATGTACCCCCTGAAACAGAAGAGTGTCCTTCTATTACAGCAGATGCTAACATTGATTCAGAAGATGAATCTGAAACGATACCAACAGATAAAACAATTACGTATGAACACATTGATCCTCCCCCAGTCCCTGTTCAAGATCGCAGCCCTTCACCTAGGCACCCAGATGTCTCCATGGTAGATCCAGAGACATTGCCTATTGACCAGAACCTAGGGAAGCCTTTGAAAAAGGATCTGAAAGAAAAAACAAAAACAAAAAAGCAGGGGACTAAGACCAAATCTTCCTCTCCTGCCAAGAAGAGTGATAGCAAACCTAAGCAAGTGGCTTCTCCAAAACCTGCTGGCTTGAAGGAATCATTGGATAAAGTTTCCAGAACAGCTTCTCCAAAGAAGAAAGAGTCTGTGGAGAAAGCTGCCAAAAATATCTCTACTCCAGAGATAAAATCATCTCATAATGAAGAGAAAGATAAGGAAACTAAGAATGCAGCGAATTCTACAACATCAAAGTCAGCAAAAACTACAACCTCAGGTGAGACAAATTGTAAAGCTAATCTCATATATCAGCTCCCTTGAGCCTGTCGTCTTTGAGATGTACCAGATTGCAGCACTCAAAATTCTCAGCCTTCATTGACAGCTCTGGTGGCTAAGAATTCTGAAAGTTGTAATTCCAACACAACTGGATTACTGTAACTAAATTACTAAAGAGAATGTAGAGATATTTTTCTGTAGCTGTATTTAAACCTGCCTGCTTTAAAAGCCATTATTTTACATGGGGACCATTGAAATAGTGTTAAGTCAGTTTATTTCAGACTTGTTAACCTGAATGATTTTGGTATGATTCAACTTGATAGAAAAACTTTTTTGAGTTTTTTTAATGAAACATTTATGTTTGTCTACATGTGTTTCTAAACAATATTTCAAAATAGTGTGCTGCTGTGCAAGACAAAATAAAATTCCCACAGTAAACATTTTATCATGTGGACAATATGCTAGCATTTTTAAGAATCAATGGTAACATTCCAATCCAGTTCAATTTAAAATTGGAATGTAAACAAAAATATTGCTGTGATTTTTCATGAAATCTTTTCAAAACTGGGGGGGGGAAGAGATAAGAAGCAAAAACAAACTTAAACCCTTTTCTTGAGACATATTATAATTTGAAAGAAAAAAAGAGAATGTTAAGAAGGTTCCCTAATCAAATCAAAATAATTGTAGAGTGCAAAGTTCTTTCATGTTAAAAAAAAGGACTAGAAAGTCAGAATGAATTTTAGAACTTAAATATTCAGATCATTTAACATCCCTCACAACTCTTAGGATTTTAAAAAAAGGCATCAAAGTTTGTCATAATAGCTGATATATTATTCCTTCTTGGAAAAATTGTGCTTCAAATTGGGATTAGATGGAACATAAATAAACATAATCTCTTGTTACAAGAAAATTTATGGAACTATCTTTTTGAACTTTGCTTAGGATAGCAAAAGTAAAAAAAACCTATTCAAATTGATGTGCCTATCCTTCTCTAACTGTTCACTTCTAAAAAAAGTTGGACTTTAAAACCCATAATTCTTAGACAGAAAAATCCAAGTTATGGAATTGGAAGCTAATACATCAGTTATTCTGCTAGGTACTAGTTTATAGTTATCATCAGTATTTGAGAAAGCAAATGAAAAATTGCTGTATTAAGAAATAATAATATTTTTGTCGGTGGTTGCTAGATAATCTAAAACCTGTGTCAATCTGATTCAACAACATTGGAAAATAGCCTTAATGGTTAAAATGATGGGGACAATGAAGAGAACTAGTTACTATTTATAGTTGAAGATAATGTTCTTCTTAGTAGTAGTAGGAGAATACTGCTTCTAATAAACATAGCAATCTGTGGTCAGATACTTAGTTTAAAAATAGCCACTGAGCATTTTGTTACTCTCTGCTAAAGTGATGATACTAGTGCTTCAATTTATGTTTAAATGTTAAAAAAACACATTTTGATACTGCTGAGCTTGGAAAGGCTATTATATAGCCTGTTATTATCATGGGTTTCACTGGAATTTGAAACCATAATATTAGAAAGAAATATAAGCTGCCCAAAGTTGTTGAAAGTTAGGTAGCATATAGGTTTAATACATTATTATTGCATACAGAACAATGTGAAATCACAATACATTATTATTACTATCTGTTCACTCTGTTTCTTTTTTAAATTACTTGCATCTGATCTTAATTTTATTATCTTGGCCTTCAGTCTGATCTTTCACTTTGGGACTGAATTTGATTTTGCTTTTCTAATTTTGATACCCAGTTGTTCTGTAATCATCACTGCTGTACTACAGGCAAACTGCTTGGTCTGTTTGATAGAGGTTATTTTAATCTTTGCAAGCACCTTATTCACATCCTTCATTATAGGTGCCAAATCATATTGGGCACTACTTTCAGTGCTGTCTGCCTGTCTATTAGTAATTCTGCATATGCCATAATCTCTTTTAATTCTTCTTTTTGGGGGATGAATTCATAGGTTGTTTCCATATTAACCTGTACTGGTTCTATTGTTGATAAATTGATAAGTTATTATTCATGTAGTTTATATCAATTGTCCCTTTATATTTACAATTATTGTTACCAGGTTTCTTTGACTATTCTACTATTTTTGGAGGGAATCTCTCATTTTTACAATTTTTCAGAACTGAATTTGCTTCAGTTCTGCTTCCCTGAATATTTTATTTCAGATAATGAATCTTCTTCATTATGCTTTGTCACACAGTCAGCCAAATATTTAGACTGGCTTTGACATTTTTATCCACCTATCAAGTTTTTCCAAAGGGATGATAGGCAGATATTGTTGTTTGAAGTTGTATCATCATAAGTATCATCACAGAATGTAAGCAGTTCCAAGTAAGATTGCCTTTTGCAATTGACTGATGATGATTTTTGTCAATGCTCCAGATGTTTTGGAATGATGTATTATTATTATTATTATATACACAACAATGTGTAATTATCCTGTAGCACCATTTCTTTATCTGGTGTTGGCCTTCAAAGGCATTGAGTTCTTTCTTTTCATCTTTGATTAGCCTGCACTAACATCTTGGGTCTGCCCAGTAACGTGACAGTAGTTAAACAACTTTAACTGATTTGAAAAAAAGGTCAGACCTAGTTAATAATTGGGTAAGTTAATATTAGGCTATAGGCTAAAATGGGGGTATTTTAAGAGTATCTTGGCCATGGGCAGGAACAAATTATTTCCATATGATTTTTCCAAGGAAACTAGAAGGCAAGCTTCTCTTAATGTTGTGCTCCTGAATCTCTTATATTTCACATTCCTTGAAATATGTGACATTCAGAATCCATGTAGTATAGTACTTAAGGTATTGGACTATGAGCAGGGAAACTATATGGATGTGTATGGATGTATATACATATGTACATATGTATGCAGGGCTTTTTTTGTCATAGAATTCCCAGAACGGAGTTCCGGAACCTTTTTTGGATGGAACCTTGTAGGGTAGGCAAGATGGGTTGTATGATATGTGTGAGTTCCGGCACCTTTTTTTTTTTTTTTTTACAAAAAAAAGCAATGTATGTATGTATGTATGTATGTATGTATGTATGGATGGATGGATGGATGGATAGATGGATGTATTATGGTCCATCTCAGCCAAGAAAGCCCATTGGATGGCTTCAGCCCAATTTCTTTCACAGTTGTTGTGGGGAGAAAATAGGAGGAAGGAGCAATATGCATGCTGCTTTGTGTTCCTGTACCAAAAAAATGGAATATAAATAAAATCAAATGAATGCATTGATACATATACACAAACATGCATGCATACATATGGTTAATAACTTATTATTTTGTATGTGTCTTGTTCTGTTCACTAAGTACATTTTAATGGTACAAATATCTGATTTTATCAACTGCTTAAATTCTATAGGATAATTCAAAATTATTTTAAAAAATACATGAACTTCACAGCTGGAGCTTGTTGTGTCAGTCTGTCCAGCTTGAGATTATCATTAGTAGACAGTGTGTATTACCACAAACTGAGACAGGTCTCTTTTTATTTGTTTATTTTAGGATCTGGAAATGGGAAACCAACAAAATCTATAGCTGTGCCTCCAGGACCTCCTATGTATTTGGACCTGGTGTATATTCCCAACCACAGCAATAGCAAGAATGTTGATATAGAATTTTTCAAGAGGGTGAGATCATCCTATTATGTTGTGAGTGGGAATGATCCTGCTGCTGAAGAACCAAGCAGGGCTGTCTTGGATTCTCTGTTGGAAGGCAAAGCTCAGTGGGGAAGCAATATGCAGGTATGTTCTCCAGAATCTGTGAAGTAAGGGAAAACCCATTAAAAATAAGATGCTAAGAATAATCTTTTAATTATCTGAATTCAGTAACAAAACCTAAAAGGGAAGAACTTACTTTTGTTTAAAATCACAAGATAAGAAAAGTGGTACATCTAAATCTTCAACAGTTGTCTTTTTACTAAGGAGAGTTGATTGCATAATTTATAATTGATTAATTGTGTATTCTATGTGCAATACTATGATCATAGAGATAGCACTTCCTGTGGCAAAATGAATATTTGTTTTTCCCCATTCCCTAAAGTGGGATTCCAACTATGAAGAGTGAGAACTGCAAGATGGGTGGCAAATAAATTTGATAAATAAAGAAAATAAATAATAAATAAAGAAAATTTTGGATAGCTCCTCTTCCCTGATTGCTTTTACGCTCAGTTTTCCCACACCCGCAAACGCCTAAACTCTGATATTGAGAAGAATTTGAAAGGGTGGATGAACGGGATCAATGAAGATCCAAATGATCCTCAGCACTGCTCACTTTTCACTATAAGTCCCAGTGTTTGAAAATGGATCTAGATGGATTCACTCCCATTGGAGGAAATGGAAAGACTTCAGTTGAAGAACAGAATCAAGAAAACGAGGTAGTGAACATTATTTTCTACTCCCACTTAGCCAATTTGTTGCTGGCAGGACTTTAGAAAGGAAAGCACCAGTAAGATTTTTTTAGTTAACTAAATATTTTAAAAAGAAATAAAAATAGATCTGTAAAAAATAAAACTATAGAGAATGGAAGCGATCTCATTGAAATGTAAATCAACATCAAACCACTATAATATGAAGTTTAATCCAGGAATTTCTAGAGAACTATAAGTAGATTACTGTATTCTATTTTTCACTACTTGCTCTGACTTGTTTTGATAGCCTAGAAGAATCTTAGCAATTGGGCCTATAGTTGTATGTAAGTGCAGCAGGGTTGTTGTATGTCTTGCTATAAATTCCCTTCTCATTACTGTTTTTGAACAACTCTGCGAACACAACATCTTTCAGACAAAGAAATAGTCTTATTAAAAATAAATAACTTAAACAGAAAAACCTTCTTTTGAGATTTAAGCAAAAAAAAAAAGTTGTGCAAATCTTTTCCATCCTGTACATTCTCTAACTGTGTTGAAATATAAACTTGTTTGGAAATAACAGATGTAGTCCAACACATCTGGAGGGCATCATGATCAGGAGGAATAATGTTTAGGCTACTTTTCTCACATGAAAGAAATGAATTTATATTTTATCAAATTTTCTTTCTATGTGTGCATAATTAATTTATTTCCACTGCTTGATGATATAAAGCTAACTTCTAAGATCACATGCAAAATGCTTTTCTCTTTAAAAAATACTTCTTGCACTTTTTACATTTATTTATATCTATTTAGCTGGCCACTCATCTTGCCAGTGTGACTCTGGTTGGCTAACATGAATCAAAATGCAATACAAATACAATACGTATGTTAAAAATCTACTTAGCTGCATACTTCCCCAAATATAACGCTGTGTTATAAAAGTGTAGAAAGTACATAAATAATAGATGCAATATATTCTCATTAGTATTTCTCTGGATATAATAAGGTTAATGGTGCCCTAAAATATTGCTCTGTTTTTCAAAATCCATCAATTTACTACTAAAACTCTCTTTCCCATAACCTTTAACAGGGCTAAGCAATGCCTCCTAGAGCAAAAATTTCTGAGCCAAGGTACCTCAAATAGGCTAGCTCAGGGGTAGGCTAGCTTATGGCTCCAAAATCTGGGAGCCATAACTCCTATGGAATTGAAATTTAGCAGATTTTATAAAACATTTTATCATATAAACATTACCATAAAGCAATTTATGACATAATACAAAATGTCATACATTTCCTGTGCCAATGTTTGAGAGTGCTATATAGTTCAACATGGGCTATTTTCAAGGCAGATACACTTCTGAATGTATCCCAACTTTTCCAGTGAAGGCAGTACATTATAAACTCTGTCCCTGTTGAAGGCATTGAAGAATCTGGTAAGGAAATTTCTCTGAAAGGATGGTCCAATGGGTCACGGGTTGTCTAGTAACAACTAATTGTCTTCCTATGTCCGGTTCTGATGATCAAGCTTTCCCGACTGACCACTCTCCAGATGTGTTAGGATGGTCTGAGGATATTATGATTGTAATTCCAACACATCTAAAGGATGCCAAATTTGTTAAGATTTTGCACAGGGGATAAATGGGGAACTCATCAAATTTGCAGACAACACCAAGCTGGCAGGAATAGCCAACACTCCAGAAGACAGGCTTAGGATACAGGAGGATCTGGACAGACTTGAACACTGGGCGCTATCTAACAAAATGAAATTCAATGGTGAAAAAAGTAAGGTTCTACATTTAGGCAAGAAAAACCAAATGTACAGGTATAGTATAGGGGGCACCTTGCTCAATAGTAGTAACTGTGAGAGGGATCTCGGAGTCATAGTGGACAATCACTTAAATATGAGCCAGCAGTGTGCTGCAGCTGCCAAAAAGGCCAACACAGTGCTAGGCTGCATTAACAGAGGGATAGAATCAACATCACGTGAAGTGTTAATACCACTTTACAATGCCTTGGTAAGGCCACACTTGGAATACTGCATCCAGTTTTGGTCACCGCGATGTAAAAAAGATGTTGAGACTCTAGAAAGAGTACAGAGAAGAGCAACAAAGATGATTAGGGGACTGGAGGCTAAAGCATATAACGCTGCTGGAATTGGGTATGTCTAGTTTAATGAAGAGAAGGAAGAGGGGGGACATGATAGCAGAGTTCCAATATCTCAGGGGCTGCCATAAAGAAGAAGGAGCTATTTTCCAAAGCACCTGAAGGCAGGACAAGAAGCAACAAGTGGAAACTAATCAAGGAGAGAAGCAACCTAGAACTAAGGAGAAACTTTCTGACAGTGAGAACAATTAACCAGTGGAACAACCTGCCTCCAGAAGCGGTGAATGCTCCAACACTGGAAGTTTTTAAGAAGAGACTGGACAGCCATTTGTCTGAAATGGTATAGGGTTTCCTGCCAGAGCAGGGGGTTGGACTAGATGACCTTCAAGGTCCCTTCCAACTTTACTATTATTATTATTTAACACATACTAGTTGGTTGGTAATGCAGTCACAAGGCTTTACAAAACTCTCAGTCTGAGAATTTCATGTTTTAGAGAATTTCAGAATGCTCTGTTCCTTACTGATATGATGCTGTAGGGGAGGGATTCATTTCCAGAGATCGCTGAACCATCCCCCAGCAAGCAACTTTCCATTCCAAGATTGTGCACATACATAGAGTGTCAGTACTGTAGTGAGATTCCTGATCATTCTTCCTTTTGTAATTTCTTCTGTAATGTGCTTTTTGTATGACAGGTGACATTAATCCCAACGCATGATTCAGAAGTGATGAGGGAATGGTACCAAGAGACCCACGAGAAACAACAGGATCTTAACATCATGGTTTTGGCAAGCAGTAGCACCGTTGTTATGCAAGACGAATCTTTCCCTGCATGCAAGATTGAACTGTAAAAAAAAAAAAAAAAGCAATGCATTTCAACTTTAAACTTTGTTTCCAGAAATTCTTCAATTTGAAAATACTTTTTCTAAAAATATAATCCATTTAATTCAGCTGCTGAACTATATATACCTGCCAAATGCTATACTGTATCAGAGTGATGCAAGTCACTATTTTTTTTTCAGTCTTTGCTAATTGCTAAGGGAAATAACAGTATTCCCACCATAGGGTTCAAATTACTGCAAAACCTGCAGATTCAGGTTCATCTTCATTGAACACTTAGGAAACCATGCACTAGCAAACACTGCTGACTTCTGCCAGGCTGGGGGCATTTGCTCTTGGAAGAAACAGAGAGTAAAGGTGGAGAGAGAGGAGGGGAGGGGGAAGATGAGTTGGGTGGCATAGAGGAGAATAAAATAATTAATTCTGCATTAGTTACAAAGCAGTCAGTGACTTATCTCCCGCAGTCTAGCATCCTAGAGAAAGAAATATTTGTTTTTTTTTTCAGAGTAGGCATATTTAATTTAGTGACAGCTAGAACATTTAAACGAAACAGAATGTGGTTTTGAAGGAACATTGCATTGGAAACACTTATTATTGGCAACCTCCCATTCAGTGTTTCATTGTCACATAACACAATTCTCTTAGACAAGATATGCAAGTAGTTTGAACCCCATTCAGTTTACCATGCAGACATATTGGTCTAAGGCATGCTCCCAGCAAAAATTCAGAGTTCTTTCAAATTTAACAAACTTGCATGCTAAAACACCCGGGTCACTGACAAGTTTACTGAAGCAAAATACCAAAGCAGTTGGGAGTACCTATGGTAGACAATTTGCCTTAGAAAGTGACTTGAATGTACAAAGATACTTGATGCACTTATTTTTTAATGCAAGATAGCAAGTTTATAAAACATCTGTGTAGGATTATAGTTACACCAGTACAGAACTATGCGTGTGCATGTGTGATATTGGAAACCTCTCTGATTGGTCAAACAGCTTGGTGCTATGAATTATGTATGTAAGTTGAACACTTCATTGGTGCCCCTGAACAGCAAATCTTGTTTGAAGTTATTTTTTTCCTCTCTTTTTCCTGCTTCCTGGAAGCATGAAAGAAAAGGTGTCCAGTACCAGAAATTCAAAATAACAAAAATATATGGGATATTACAAAAAAGGTTGTCTGCACATCTGTACAGTCTTTGAAGCTTTCCTTCGTCTTACATTAGTTTGACTGTTAATTTAAAAGTGAATATGGGGACAAATGTACAGAATTTTTTTAGCTGTGCACGAACTTTTAATAGATGAATTTTTAAACATGTTTTGTTTACAGGAAAATGCAGAAAAAAATTAGGTGAAGGCTAATTTTTTTAGTAGTTTTGTAAGACAACACGTAGTGTTATTTTGAGTTCTGGTGAGAATGAAGTACGATAAAGCAGTACCGTATTTATTGAACGTAGCTGACTGCCAAGGATTATCTTATGGGGAGCACACTAGCAATATCATTATGTGTTAGTGGTCAAAGAACTAAGGACTGAAAGGTTAGTTGACTTTCTTTTAAGCAGGCATCTTGGATTTGGAGCTATTCCATGGCTTTATGCAATCTAAGGAGTCATTGGTGGTGGCACTATTTCACAGTACCAATAAACACAGCTTACGACTCGGGGCGTTGCATGAAACCACGCTTTGTAACGTTACAAACAGCCCTTTGAGACACCTGTCAAACCCTCCAGTGTTAGTTGGGCAGCAGAGATCTTGACCTAATTTTTCCTAGGTATTCCTTTATCCTACACTGTCTTAAGTAAAATTAATTGAAGGATCCCTTCCCAAAGTAAAACCAGAACAGGGTATACTGTATATAATGTGATTCTGTGAAATCATAGAAACGTGCAAAAAGTAATCCTGGTCACAGATTTTAACTGTTGAGAACCTCAGCTTCCACATTCTTCAAAGCTTCTAGTTCCTAGAATTACAGGAAGGAGAGCGGCTGATCAGGATTTCTTACAATCAGATGGGATTTACTATTCCACATCTTTTCAAATTAGCACAGAAAAACAAAGTATGCAAAATTTATTCAGGTATGCATAATTTCTGCAGATTACAGGAATCAATTTTATGTGTGACTGAGTTTAGATTGTTTGGTCACACATTACTCCACTTGGCTTTTTAGCAGCAGCAGTTGAGTGGTGATGCTGGCATACCACACAGTATGCAATCACACTACTTTCTCCTTGCTTCTACAGCACCTGCTAGGGTTGCAAGGGTCTCTGGTTCTTCCCTCATCTTCTCAAACATGACACTATTCCATTTATTCAAACAAATTACATGTGCCTAGTCTAGTGCAAACTTATTTGCTTATTTTTTTAATGTTCAAGACCACCTCTACCGGGAAGCCTACAATTTCATTATAAGACAGATGGAAATGAAAAAGAAAAATAAGAAAATGTGTGATAACAGAGGTCTGATAATAATATATCTTGTGCTGGTATAGTATTTTCATGACCAGAGTACATGTTATCACTACCTATAATAATACCTCCATTATACTTAAATGTTTTACTTCACAGTTCTGTACAGAATTTTCACAATCTCATTCTCTCCATAATAGGAATTTGTTTTATGCCAACCATGTTTTCAGAAAGTCTGATTTCATTAAGTAGTGGACAACTACAGCATTTTGTTTATTATATGTTATATAATTTATTTTAATTGTTACATTGTTTATTTTTATTTTATTTTGCTAATTTTTATATATTTTAATATTACTTTAGATCCTCTTTAATTTGGGCTGGGTAGCTCAATTAATGCTGTGAAATATTGTTTTTTTTGTGGATTTAAAAATTCTAATATTTTGTTTTTGTTTGACAATTCTAGCAATGCTACTTTATTTATTATTTTACCTTTATCCAAGAAACACTTATGTTCTTGTAGTGCTTTATTTTTCTTGGAACAGCGTAGATAGAAGCTCTGTGGGTTGGATCCCAAGTCTTAAACAAAAACTGGTATGATTGTGGAATGAAAAGCAAGGGAAAATGTATTTTTGAAAGAAGCCGGATAGCTGAACTCATAATTGTGAATGCTGCGTTTGGGAAATGCAGCAGTGGGGAAAACATTGTCCTGGTACCCATTAAACAGAAATAACTACATGTTATTTGATATATTCCTGAATGTTATTCTCCCATACCTCATCCCCTTTCTTAGGCCAACAGTTGCTATTTCTAATACAATTCTACATAATCCACTAACCAAATGTTCGTCCACATTGGATGACCCAGGCCAATAGTACTTACAGAAGGTTAAATGTAAGAGTTTACTGGGCAAAGATGTTACTCTACCACATTGTTAGCATAATGATTATCCTTTACTTATCCACACTGGCCACCTTGAAAATATCTGGGCTTCTTAGCAGTGGCCATGCTGGCTGGGGAATTCTGGAGAAATTCATCTGGAGAGCTCCTTAATATGGAAAGATTGACTTAGATGACTTATTCAGAGCGAGTGCCAAGGGATTGCAATCAGCTCTGCCAACTTACAATGCAATATTCCATTTATTAATTATTGTTTCAAGATGAATTAATTTTATGACAAACAGATCCCACATTTTGCTGTTTTTAAGCAGAATTTAAAGGATTTTCCCAGCAGGAATATGTTTAATTTTCTTCTTGCCAAAAAGAAAAAAAAAAGAAAAAGGAAATGTGAACAGTAAGACAAAAACTGACTAGATCATGGAAGTTGTCAGTCTGTTTTGAACTGAACTTCTATGAGGATTATTTCTAGTTCATGCTCAATTGACAATATTAAATATATATTTAAATGTGCAAAGAGGAAATTACTGTCTCCAAACATAACAGATGTGTAACATCAATAGGCCTGTTGAAGCAATTGTCTGAAATCAGCATGACAGATAATTATGTATGCCATATCAGAAATCAACTCTGTTGTGTGCAGTAGGACTTATTCCCAATAAACATATATAGGATTACCACCTTAATGGAGTTCAAATTTGGCCTTGACATTATTTCACACCTTAAGCACGTTATTGATCCTCTTGTAATTATTTTACTGTAGAATCAGAAATGTAGTTAGATTGGGATTTTCGTATGTGTAAATTTCCCATTTCTATGCTTCCAAATGGTTGAACTCTAATCTTTAATTTGGCAAATCTTGGTTTTATGGGAATATATATTCTTTTATGACAGCTTTCCCTATCTTACAGTGGATTACAATTTCCAGTGTTGTCAGCCAGCATGCTAATTGCAAAGTTTGAGAATTTATAGTCCAATAATTCTTGGTTTTTTGGGGTGGAAGATTTGTATAGCTTTGCTCAAAGGTCTCATTTTGTATTACTTCTCAAAGGTCTCATTTGGCATCATTGCTTCTAGCATTAGAATGCTTTTTAATAGTCTGTTTTCTGACAACTTGCTCCTGAGAGTTGAGGAAAATTTCAGGAATACTTCTGAAAGTACAGGGACATATAGTGGGCATGACATTGGCATTTGCCCTGCATATGAGTTGATGTGCCTTTAGAGCCAAGCCTATATTTTCTTTTTAAGTTTCTGACTAAAGCTATAGTAGTAGGCTATACAGTGCTTAAACAATTGTTTTTGAACAAGCAGGCGTAGGGTTTTGAATGGCAATCAGGATTGAATTTGAATGGCACTCAATTCTGGATTTCTGTTACTGTTGTTTTAGGAAGCTCCTCTAGACCAAACTAAATGGAACTAATAGTTGTGTTAATCACAGCCCTACTCAGTTAGTTTAGTGACAGTCAATCTGAAGTACCATGAATACTGATATTGTGCTCTGTTACTCAGCACAGATTACTAGAAGCATGGTTCAATATTAATTAAATTAATAATTCAATATTAATGAAACAAAAGTAGAGTGCTATATGCATTCCAGAAAATTTTACCATTGGTAACATTCCCCTCATTGTGCTGTTATGATAGTACTTTTCCATTGAATAAAATTCAGTGACAGTTTAGTTGAGGTCACGTTCAAACTTAAAACGGATCTTTTGCATGCCTTTACATTTTCCTATGGTAGGTCTAATTTCTGCAACTACTACGTTTTAATTGATCTTTCATTTTTCATGATTTGTGTTTAACTTCACATACAGTAGTGGATGAATCCAAATGTGTATACAAATATATTTAGCTGTCTTCAGTAGATTAAGCAGTTTAGGAACCTTGCAACACAGAACTAAGAAGCTGTTGGTTGAGGAAAACATTCCAAGATCTCCCAGCTTAGCTTCAAGGAGTTAATTCTGCATTTCCTATATCACAGGTCATTTCTCCACTAGCAAGCATCTTTTAGAATCATCCCAACATTGATGTGCCATGATTAACAATAAAGAGGACAAATTTTACATCACTGCAGT